CCCCTAAGGCTCAGATACTGGGGCTCGGCCATCCCCTCGCTCCCTGGCCACCATCCCCTCTGCACTGCTCACAGGTCCAGGTCCCTGGGTTGTCTTCCCTTTCTCCAGCTTCCTCCTTCCCCTTCAGCCTTGCTCCTCCATCTCGGCCTGCCCTGCCACACCCTTTGTCTCTGTGGAGTGGAGACAGACCCTCGGGGAGGCCTCCTTGGCCAAGTAGGACCCCTCCCCAAGTCTGAAGGCCCCTTCCTGGGCAGTCCTTCTCGGGTGTGGCGGCGGCAGCTGTCCTGGCCCTTGGCGGGCTGGAGGACCTTGCCAATGAGACAGTGGTGGAGGCGGTTTTCTCAACCCAGGCTCACTTTCGCAATGGGGGAGAGGATGACGTACCCCAACTCCGTCTGGCGGGGGAGGAGAGTGTAGGGTGGGGCTGGTGGCCAGGCACTTTCATCTCTTGGGTAGGCCCCAGCCGGAAAGCTTAGGCAATGGGGTCCAGAGCACACGGCTTCCTGTTGTCTGAGGCTGACCCAAGGCAGTGATTTTTGGGGCAAGGTCTGGCCAGAGCCCCAGAACTAGGCCCAGCGCCCTAGAGAGGAAGCTGGCTGAGGAGCCTTGGGGGCGTGGCTCCCTCTCTGCTCCAGCTGTGGCCTCTCAGAGCCACGTGATATTCTGAGCCACCAGAGCTGGTGACCGGGGCCTCCTTGATGCTGGCCAGAGAATCTCTGGGGGCTCCCACATCTCCAGTCAGAACTTCTTGAGGGCAAGAACTATTTTTTTTGGGCTGGACACATAGCAGGGCCTTGATAAACCTGGGGTTTACTGAACTGGGATGAACTGGACTCTTCTCGATCTACTAGGGAGACACGCAAAGTCTTGGGGTTCAGGGAGTCCCTGCTACTGGCAACACCTGGGTGATTCCCCAGCCCTGGGCTGAGCCCTCCACCTGCCCTGTGTGACGGAGATGTTGTAACGTTGTCATCTGTGGCTGTGGGGGGAGGGCCCAGGCAGGGCTCTGCCAATCTTTCTTAGCTCCTGAGGGGACTCCCGGCCTGGCCACCAGCACCACAGACCAGCATGCTGGTGTTCTCCCCGGCTCTTGTGGCCGAGTGACCTTCTTCCCCAAAATCCCCTCCAGTGATGACGCACCTGCTTAGAACTCTCTGCCTGGCTAGGGCTGACCTCAGCTCCCTCACCCAGCCCCACCCTTTCCTTCTTGAAGGGACCCAGTGGGGGGCTGGAAAGGGCTGGGGATGGAGGATGCTGTCTGCTCTCCTTGCAAGAGGTTTTCTGGTGTTTGAGAGGCACTGGTGGGCTGGTCTGGGCACATGTGGTGGATAGTGACTGTGGCAATGAGCTGTCTACTGACCACAGTTGGGCCTGGCTGGAGATGGCTGTCTTAATCTATTTTGTGACGTTGCAACAGAACACCTGACACAGAGCAATTTATAAAAGACAGAGATGTATTTCTTACAGTCTAGAACTGGGAAATCCAAGGTCAAGGGACCCGCATCTACTGAGGGCCTTCTTGCTGTGTCATCCCTTAGAGGAAGGTGGGAGGGAGG